AATTTCTTCTCTGATTTGAATTATTTCTCTTCTCCTACTAGCTTTGGGTCTGGTTCGCTGCAGATTTTCTAGGTCCTTGAGATGCAGTGAAAGCTCATTTATTTGGTGTCTTTCCAATTTCTTGATGTAGGCACCTATTGTTATAAACTTTCCTCTTAACACTGCTTTTGCTGTATCCCATAAGTTTTGGTATGTTGTGCTGTTATCCTCATTTACTTCCAAAAAATTTTTGATTTCTCTTTTGATTTCTTCTCTGAGCCATTGTTCACTCAGGAGCATGTTGTTCATTCTCCATGCGTTTGCATATGCTGTAGGGATTCCTGAGTTGCTAATTTCCAACTTCATTCCTCTATGGTCTGAGAAGCTGCATGGTATGATTCTAATTCTTTTGAATTTGCTAAGACTTGCTTTATGGCCTAGTATGTGGTCAATCCTAGAGAAGGTTCCATGTACTGCTGAGAAGAATGTAAAATCTTTAGCTGTAGGATTGAAAGTTCTGTAGATATCTGTTAGATCCATTTGGGCTATAGTGTCATTTAAATCTACTGTATCCTTGTTGATCTTCTGTCCTGTTGATCTGTCTATTTCTGAGAGTGGAATATTGAAGTTCATCAGTACTATTGTATTGGAGGCTAAGTCTCCCTTTAAGTCCCTTAACAAATCTTTTAAATAAACCGGTGCCCTGTAATTAGGTGCATATACATTGATAATTGTTATATCTTCCTGTTGAATTGATCCCTTAATCATTATATAGTACCTGTCTTTGTCTCTCAACAGTTTTTGTGTTAAAGTTTATTTTGTCTGATATTAAGATGGCTCTTTTTTCATTTCTGTTGGCATGGTATATCTTTTTCCAGCCTTTCACTTTCAGTCTGTATGCATCTTTGTTGGAAAGATGTGTTTCTTGTAAGCAGCAAATAGATGGGTTTGTTCCTTAAGCCAATCAGCCAATCTGTGTCTTTTAACTGGACAGTTCAGTCCATTAACATTCAATGTGACTATTGATAAGTAGTAACTTTGCCCTGCCATTTCCCAAAGATATTTTCTAATATATGCTTTGAACTTCCTGTGAATTTTTACTGTGAGTTTTCCTTCCTTTACCTTCTTTCATATTGATGACCGTGTTTCTGTGTTTCTGTATGTAACAAATCTTTAAGCATCTTTTGCAGAGCTGGACGAGTGGCGACAAATTCTTTCAATTTCTGTTTGCTATGAAAGGTCTTTATTTCACCTTCATTCACAAATGATAGCTTAGCAGGATATAATATTCTGGGCTGGCAGTTGTTCTCTCTTAGTACCTGGGCTATGTCTTGCCATTCCCTTCTAGCCTGTAGGGTTTCTGATGAGAAATCTGCTGTGAGTCTAATGGGAAATCCTCTGAGAGTAATCTGATGTTTCTCTCTTGCACATTTGAGAATCTTTTCTTTATGTTTCACTGTGGTGAGTTTGATTATAATGTGTCATGCTGAGTATCTCTTTTGGTCATGTTTACTAGGGGTTCTATGAGCTTTCTGTACTAGGATGTCTCTGTCCTTCTCCAAACTTGGGAAGTTTACTGCTAATATCTCACTAAAAAGTTCTTCTAATCCTTTCTCCCTCTCCATGCCTTCAGGAACTCCTAGAACCCGAATGTTGGGTTTTTTAATAGTATCCTGTAGATTCCCAACAATATTTTTTAGATTTCTAATTTCCTCTTCTTTTCTTTGGTTTGACTGTAAACTTTCCTGTGCTCTGTCTTCTAAGTCCGATATTCTCTCTTCTGTTTCACTGACTCTGTTTTTAAGGCTCTCTAATGTGTTTGTCATTTGATCTATTGAGTTCTTCATTTCATTTTGATTTCTCTTCACTATTAATCACACTTTGCTGTTCTACTAGTTTCTGAGTTTCATTTTGATTCCTCCTTAAGATTTCATTTTCTTGAATGAGATTTTCTGTCCTGTCCAGTAAGGATTTCCGTAGCTCAAACATTTGTTTTTGAAAACTTCTAATTGTTTTTATCATAAATTTTTTGAAATCCGTATCTTGCATTTCTTCCATCTCATCATCTTCATAATCTTGGCTTGGGGCGTCCTGTTCATTTGGGGGTGCCATAATGTCTTCCTTGTTGTTGTTTCCTCGTTTTCTGCGTTTGTTGGTTGGCATTGTGGAGATATTCTTTGGATTCTTCTTCCCTCGATGTGGTGTTTTTTTCTTGTTATACTATGACTGTATTAAGTGGACTGTCTGCTTTTGATGGAGCCTTAGAGGCTTGAGATGGGTGTGGCCTGAGAGCTCTGTTTGGTTCCTCAGGGTTAAGGGTGTGCCAAAGGTGACAGTCCCAGGTTAGGCATTGTAAATCTCTTCCTTCCTCCCTCCCTCCCTCCCTTCCTCCCTTCCTCCCTTCCTCTTTCTTTCAATTCAGAAGGGAAGTAATTCTGCACAGCTGAGCAGAATTGAAGGTAGTTAGCAAGCGAATGATATATCCACAGGAGCCAGAGATTGGAAGCTCTTTCCCTGTTCTGCCCTCAGTGTGGGCTCAAATTCTCCTGCAGTCTCCCACTGGGTTGCCAAGGTTACTGAATTGTAGTGTCTCTGGAGAGTACTTACGTGAATTCCATGAGTTCTCTCCCCCACTGTCTCTTTTTTCACAGTCTCAGTTCATTAGCACCACACATTCACTAGGTTCTAATCTGTTATTTCACACCACCACAACCACCACCACCACCCCCCCCCCTGCCACCCCCAGAGTCAGGTTTTTCTGCTTGGCTGAGGGCAGGTGCAGTCCTGAGGTCATGCTGCTTATGACGTATGTCCAAAATGGCTCCTGCTCTTTTTCTTGCTCGCCTTTGAGAGGTGAGCAGAGAGAGAGAAACTCATGTCTGTACTGGTCACTTTTTTTCCCTCTCTCTTCTAGTTAGCCTGGTGAACTTTTCCCCACGGGGTTTCAAGTCTCGTTCCCTCTAGTCTCCTCTTTCCACTTTCCCGCCGGTGTCTCGAGCTACTGATGTTCAGCTCACCTCGCATTCAAGTGCTTTTGCGTTGATTCTGCCACTGGTGTCCTGAGCCGTGGTCTCCCACGCCCTCCATGCAGGTTCACTGTGAATCACTAGTTATGGAAGAGTTTACTCTGCTATTTCTTCCGCTACTCTTCCTTGAACCTGCAGTATCTCCATTTTTATTAAACTGTCTCTTCCTGGACTATCAGTGTGCTCCCTTCCTATTGCGCCATCTTGCCACTCAATAGATTCTGGATTTTAATCCTTTGTCTGTTGCATAGTTTGCAGATATTTTCTTCATTTTGTCAACTGCCTCTTCACTTTGCTGAGTCTTTCTTTTGTAGTACAGAAGCTTCTTTTATTTTTATTTATTTATTCATTTTAAAAATTTATTAATTAGAAAGTCAGAGTTACACACACACACACACACACAGAGAGAGAGAGAGAGAGAGAGAGAGAGAGAGAGAGAGAGGTCTTCTATCCAATGGTTTACTCCCCAATTAGCCACAGTGGCTGGAGCTGCACCGATCCAAAGCCAGGAGCTTCTTCCGTGTCTCCCACGCGGGTACAGGGACCCAAGAACTTGGGCCATCTTCTGCTGCTTTCCTAGGCCATAACAGAGAAATGAATCGGAAGTGGAGCAGCCGGGTCTCCAACTGGCACCCATATGTGATGCTGGTGCTTCAGGCCAGGGCGTTAACCCGCTGTGCCAACCGGCCCCTTTTATTTAATTATTTTTAAAGATTTATTTATTTATTTGAAAGTCAGTGTTACACATGGGGCTGGCGCCATGGATCACTTGGCTAATCCTCCGCCTGAGGTGCCGACATTCCATATGGGCACTGGGTTCTAGTCCCGGTTGCTCCTCTTCCAGTCCAGCTCTCTGCTATGGCCCGGGAAGGCAGTGGAGGATGGCCTAAGTGCTTGGTCCCCGCACCTGCATGGGAGACCAGGAGGAAGTACCTGGCTCCTGGCTTTGGATCGGTGTAGTTCCAGCTGTAGCGGCCATTTGGGGGGTGATCCAACAGAAGGAAGAGCTTTCTCTCTGTTTCTCTCTTTCACTGTCTGTAACTCTATACCTCTCAAATAAATAAAATCTTTTAAAAAAAGAAAGTTACACAGAGAGAGGAAAGGCAGAGAGAGAGTACAGAAACTTCTTAATTTGATGTAATCCCATTTATTAATTTTGGCTTTGATTTCTCATGCTTCTGGTGTCTTTTTCTAAGAAGTCGTTGCCTATGCCAATGTCTTACAGGTTTTCCTCAATGTTCTCTAGTAATTTGGTGTTTTCAGGTCATAGATTTAGGTCTTTGATCCATTTTGAGTAGATTTTTGTGTAAGGTATAAGGTAAAGGTCTTGCTTCATACTCTCACATGCCAAGATCCAAATTTCCCAGCACTGTTTAAGAGACTGTCTTATTTTAGGGATAGATTTTAACTCCTTTGTCAAAGATAAGTTGATTGTAGATGAGCAGATTGATCTCTGGAGTTTCTATTCTGTTCCTTTGGTCTACCCAATTTTTTTTTTTTGGATGACTGCTCTGTAGTGTGTCTTGATAACTGGTATTATGATACCTCCAGCTTTGTGTTTTTTGTAAGATTGCTGTAGGCATTTGGGGTCTGCTGTGTTTCCTGATGAATTTCAGCATTGTATTTTCTAGATCTGAGAAGAATGTCTTTGTGTTTTTTTTTGTCCTTGATATTTACATTGAATTCAAATCAAATCTGTAAATTGCTTTTGGTAGTATGGACATTCTGATGATATTGATTCTTCCAATCCATGAACATAGAATATTTTTCTACATTTTTTTGTATCTTCTTCTATTTCTGTTGCAGGGTACACTGATTAAAACACAGTGAGACTTTGAAGTCAAATTGGGAGTCTTTATTATCCTCGTGGCAACTACCTTTCTCACAGAGCAAGTCCAGAGAAGACAGCCCCAAGTTGTAATTGTGTGGCAGTTTTAAAGGCAGAAACCCCATCCTCGTGGCCTTTGTTGTTATCAGACAAGCAAGAAAAGTGAAGTACAGAATCCAGAAATATGCCTTTTACAGCCAGATGAGCACACCACATGGTTACAGCTGGATAAATGAACCCCATTTATAACTTGTTTGTCACAAGTGGACAGTTTCTGCTCTGGCGCAGTTAGGTGAGCTTAGCCACACAAGGTATGCTATATCCTGTGGAAGAATGTTCAAGTTACAAATTTCTATTTTTTTAAGATTTTTATTTATTTATTTGAGAGGTAGAGTTACAGACAGTGAGAGGGAAAGACAGAGAGAAAGGTCTTCCGTCCACTGATTCACTCACCAAATGGCCGCAATGGCCAGAGCTGCGTCGATCCAAAGCCAGGAGCCAGGTGCTTCCTCCCAGTCTCCCATGCGGGTGCAGGGGCCCAACGACTTGGGCCATCTTTTACTGATTCCTAGGCCACAGCAGAGAGCTGGATGGGTAGAGGAGCAGTCAGGACTAGAACCGGCGCCCATATGGGATGCTGGTGCCGCAGGCAGAGGATTAACTTACTATGCCACAGTGCCAGCCCCAAGTTACAAATTTCTTAAGTTGCCCTGTCACATTTCTTTGTTTAATGGTTTGTAATTTTCCTTTTTTAGGGTTTTTTTTTAGTTAACAAATATATGCTTTTTTGATACACAAAATTTGTTTTTTAATTTTCATTGTAGAGATCTTTGACATCTTTGATAAATTTATTCTAAGGTACTTAATTTGTTTGTAGCTATTGTGAATGGTATCTATCTTAGAAGTTCTTTCTCAGCCATGGCATTGTCTGTGTTTACAAAAGCTATTGATTTTTGTGTATTAATTTTATATCCTGCCATTTTACCAAACTCTCTCTGAGCTCCAATAGACTTAGTGGAGTCTTTTGTTTCTCTTGTATATAGAATCATGTCATCTGCAAATATGGATAGTTTGACTTCTTTACAGATTTGTATCCTTTTGATTTTTTTTTTTTTTTTTTTTTTTTTTGCCAAATGGTTCTGGCTAAAGCTTCCATGACTGAGTCGAATAGGAATAGTGAGAGTGGGCATCCTTGTTTGGTACTGAATCTTAATGGGAATGCTTCCAACTTTTCCCCATTCAATAAGATGCTGGCTGTGTTTTTGTCATAAATTGCCTCAATTGTGTTGTGTAACGTTCCTTCTACACCGAATTTGCTTAATGTTTTTGTCATGGAAGGATGTTGTATTTTATCAAATGTTTTCTCTGTATCTATTGAGTTAGTCATGTGGTTTTTGTTCTCGAGTTTGTTAATGTGATGTATCAGGTTTGTTAATTTGCAGATATTGAGCCACCCCTGAATACCAGGGATAAATCCCACTTGGTCTGGATAAATGATCTTTCTGATGTGTTGTTTGATTCGATTGGTGTGGAATTTGTTGAGTTTTGCTTTTATGTTCATCAGGGAAACTGTTCTTTAGTTCTGTGTTGTATTTTTTCCTTGTTTAGGAATTTAGGTCATGCTGGCTTCATAGAAGGAATTTTGGAGTATTTCTTCCCTTTCAATTATTTTGAATAGCTTGGGAATAATTGGAATTAGTTCTTCTTTAAATATCTGGTATAATTCAGCAGTGAAGCCATCTGGTCCTGGGTTGGCTTTTCTTTATTAGGAGGGTCTTTATTACTGGTTCAATCTCCATCATGGTTATTTGTCTATTTAGGTTTTCTATGGTTGCATATACATTTATTATATCACATCTTCCTGTTGAATTGATCTCTTAATCATTAGATTGTGCTCTTCCTTGTCTCTTTTAACAGGTTTTGTGTTAAAGTATATTTTGTCTATTCTTAGGATGGCTTCACTGCTATTTTATTGCTTTCCATTAGCATGGAATATTTTTTCCATCCTTTCACTTTCAGTCTGCATAGACCTTTTCTGGTGAGGTTTCTTGTACATAGCAAATAGTTTTTTCTTGTTTTTTATTCATTCAGTCAGTCTGTAGCTTTTCCTGGAGAATTTAGGCTATTTATAATCAAGATTACTGTTGATAAGTAATGACTTGGCCCTGATGTTTTTACATAAATATCCCTATTGTTTACTTTGGATTTCCTTTGTACTTTTATTGGGAGATTTTCTGCCTTTACATTCTTCCATAATGATGACCATCTGTCTGTGTTACTATATGAAGCACATTCTTAACACCTTTTGTAAGGCTGGAGGAGTATTGACAAATTCTCTCAGTTTCTGTTGTTTTGAAAGGTCTTTATTTCACCTTAATTGATAAATGAGAGCTTTACAGGCTACAGTATTCTGGGTTGACAGCTTTTTTCTCTCAATAGTTGGATGATGCCTCTCCATTCTTTCCTAAGCCTGTAGGGTTTCTGATGAGATGTCAACTGTGAGTCTGATTGGAGATCCTCTGAATGTACTCTAGCATTTCTTTCATGCACATTTTATTTTTTTTATAGAAAAATTTTATTTAATATATAAATTTCAAAAGTACAACTTTTGGATTTTAGTGGTTCTTCCCCCTATAACCACCCTCCCACCCGCAAACCATCCCATCTCCTACTCCCTCTCCCATCCCATTCTTCATTAAGATTCATTTTTAATTTTCTTTGTATACAGAAGATTAACTCTATACTAAGTAAAGATTTCAACAGTTTGTACCCACACAGACACACCAAAGTATAAAGTAGTGTTTGAAGACTAGTTTTACTGTTAATTCTCATAGTACAACACATTAAGGACAGAAGTCCTACGTGGGGAGAAAGTGCACAGTGACTCCTGTTGTTGATTTAACAATTGACACTCTTATTGATGACGTCAGTGATCATCCGAGGTTCTTGTCATGAGCTTCCAAGGCTATGGAAGCCTCTTGAGTTTACAAACTCTGACCTTAATTAGACAAGGCCATAATCAAAGTGGAAGTTCTCTCCTCCCTACAGAGAAAAGTGCCACCTTCTTTGATGACCCTTTCTTTCCACCGGGATCTCACTCACAGAGATCTTTCATTTAGTTCATTTTTTTTTTTGCCAGAGTGTCTTGGATTTCCATGCCTGAAATGCTCTCATGGACTTGTAGCCAGATCCAAACGCCTTAAGGGCTGATTCTGAGGCCAGTCTCTGCACATTGTAGAATATTTTCTTTATGTTTTACTGTTGAAAGTTTGATTACAATATGTCATGGTGAAGATCTTTTCTAGTTTTGTCTGTTAGGAATTCTATGTGTTTCCTGTACTTGGACATCCCTTTCTTTCTTCATATTGGAGAAGTTTTCTGTAATTATTTCACTAAAAAGGCCTTCTAATCCATTCTCTTTCCTTGTCTTAGGAACTCCTGCAACTCTTATGTTGGGTTGTTTGATAGTATCCATCCCATAAATCTCCAATGCTGTTTTTAATTTTTCTAATATCTTTTTCTTTTTTTGTCTGAATGAAAAATTTCCAGAGATTTGTCTTCTAACTCAGATTTGTTTTCTTCTGCTTCATGAAGTTTGTTGTTGAGGCTTTCCATTGCATTTTTTATTTGATCCATTGGATTCTTCATTTCTAGAATTTCCTTTTGGTTTCTCTTTAAAAATATCAATTTAATGGGCAAAATTTTTTATTCATGTCATGTATGCATTTCATTAATTCATGCTTTTGCTTCTGATTGCTTCTGAGTAGTCCTTTGATTAACCTTTTGAATTCCATTTCAGGCATTTCATCAATCTGTTCATCTTCACATTTTAGTGTTGGTGTGATGTCGTGTTCCTTTGGAGGTGTCATGTTGTCTTTCTTAGTCTTGTTTCTTGAATTTCTGCATTTATTTTTAGGCATTTGTGCAGATACTTGTTGTGTTTTTATCTCTCTGGTGGCTTTTATCTGTGGCCTGTGCCGCTGAGGCTCAGTTGAATGTCTGCTCTCTCAGTGAAAACCCAGAGGTGTGTGATAGGTATGGTCAGGGAGCTTCTTTCACTGCCCCAGGTTGGGGGTGTATCCAGGGTGACACTCAAGTTGGGCTTGGTAGATCTCTCTCTTTTAATCATAGGGGAGGGTTTGATCAGCTCTGTTAGTGTATAGTCTCACCTTCACCTCCCCTCTTTCGAGGTGATCAATGTCTGGACATTAGTCCCAGGGGATGCAGTAATCATCTCTGTTGCCACAAGCACAACACAAATGATCCATACGTCCTTAGTGCGAGCATGGATCCCACAACAATGACCCACCTCAGGCAATCAGGGAGCCCTGAGCACATAGAGCCCACCTACAGTGACTGCACAGAGACCCAGCCACATCCTGCACCCTCCCACACAGCCATAGTGTTTCTACACTCCAACACACAAGGCTACCAATGGTCAAGGTCCCCAAGGATTTGGTATTGTGATGCTTCCTGTTTGGTTTTGTTATATCAGATTGTTTTAGCTATTTGGGGTCTCTTGCATTTACATGTGAATTTTAGCATTTGGTTTTTCTAGATCTGAGAAGAATGTCCTTGATATTTTGATAGGGATCACATTGAATCTATAAATTTCTTTTTGTAGTACGGATATTTTGCTTGTATTAATTTCTTTCTAAACCCATGAAGCCTGGGAAAATTTTTTCCCATGGTTTGGGTATTGGCCTTCTATTTCCTCCAATATTTTGGGAATTTTTTTATTG